TGCTTTTTTCGTGAGAAGGACTCTTAAACGCTGACAAACATCAACAAATAGCGAAAACTATAATTTCTATATGTTTGCTTTGCTCGAAATCGCGCGCATTTACAAGGCCCTAAAGCGTTTTGCCGACTTGCAAGGACCCATCTGTTATAACGATGCCCAAAATAAAGAGATGAATCTCATAGTTTATTAGATATAATCCGTGTAAAGTTTGCTTATGATTTTCGCATAAATTATGACCTAAATTTGGAAACCGCTGAATTTCTCGAATTGGGTCTTTGCGATTTTGGTGAAACTCTGTTCAGCACAAGGCACTAATGCGCACTATGTGTAGCCGAGAGATTTTCCCGAAAAAATGCCGGCAACAGCAGATTTTCGACTCAGACTTCAAGGGGGCGTGGCATTATAACCACGTGACATTTACTCCGATCGCCAAAAATTTTATGTTATATTGTAGATTGATCTATATGTTATCCATTTTATGTGTTAGACTTGCGATAAAAGTAAAGGTGGGGATACCAGAGAGCTTCAAACTAGGATGGTATCCCCCCCAAAAAAAACTGGGTCGAGTCACCTTGATACGTCCGCACTATACTATCTGAGAGCATGGCACAGGCTACTGAGTGGTTCAAGTAGAAACTAGAGTTTAACAAAGATGAAGCAAGCAAGCCATCTTGCAATTGCGTAGTATAAGTTGATAAATCGGCTTTTAAACTCTTTAGTCGTTTATAAAGGGTTTCTAGGCGTATTTATGTACTTTCAAGCACCACCACTCCTCCCCCGTTAAAATGCACGTGACAGTATTGAGTGACGAACAGCGTCGCGGACATTATTGTGCCATTGTAGCACCGGTCAGATATATATTTTCGTGCAGTGTAAAGCAGTGTTTAACAAATGGCTATAAACCGTCGAAGAAGATGCAATCCTAATAAAATTCGCCTAAACTGATCAAAGATTAGTATTCGACCTTTGAAGACGTAGAAAGTTCACTCGGTCTGTCCGGTGTGAGGTGCATATTGCAGAGGTTGCAAACCAGAGGTCAAGCGACGAACAACCGAAAGTCGTGCTAAAATGATCTTTGGACCGGTCGTTTACTGCTCATAATAAGGTAAAAACATTTCGAAACGGTTTTCTATCTGCTTATTTTAACTTAATGTGGGTTTAGACAAGTGAAGGAACAAAATTTTATGTCCGACTCGCAACTTCAAAGTTGTCCGCGGAAGGTCAAACATCTGCATTTTTAACAGATTTTGTAAAGCTCTCGCGTCGCTAGTAATCCTTTGCCCAAAGAAATTTTTACAGGAATCTGTAGACCATCCTTCTGACATTCAACCACCAGCAGCTTAATCGATTTGAAGGTTTCGCACATGGTAAAAATTATGTTTTTTCACCCATTACTTTTACTGAAGGAAATTGTATGCCTTCGAAATTAAATTATTTTGTATGCAAAGAGGAGAGCACTATCTCCCCAAATCATTTTAACAGATATTTAGAAGTTGTAAAAGAAGGCTGTGATGTTTAAAAGGCGGTAGTGAAATCGGTTTTTACATTCTAGGCTTTCCAACCCATGTAATAATTGAGCGCCTCAAATGGCGATTTCAACGGATTTTGGATATTTGCAATTATCTCTGAAATAAAAGAATATTTCACCGAAAAATCAATACAGTGATTATAGTTATACCCTAGCCTATCTAACATTAAAATATGAAAGAAATCGAATTTTCCACCTTTGCCGCGATATGTTTAATTTTTACGGACAGGCTCTGTTAAGCACAACAAAATTATCAATTCAAGCGGGTTTTACTTGATTTCTAATTCTTGATAAAATCCAAGATGGTGGCCGAGATGGCAGCCATGTTTGGTGACGCCACAGGCCTCATAAAATATACCTCATAAAATATACCTCACCTTCAAAGGCTTTTCATTGAAGGCTTCGTTTCGAAATACTGCGACATATCAAAAACTCAGAAGATGGGTTCCATCAAGGCACCCCCCTCCCCCTTTTAACACAGTGGGGGTACGTGTGCGTGTACGTGTACGTCCGAGGGTTAAGCTTTGGCTATCGGGAAAACCTATTCTTCTTTTTTGAATTATTTAAGTTCGACAAATCTCGCTATTTCCCTGAAAGTTACTCTAACAGTGAAAAAAAAATTGTTCTGTTATGGGAAGTGTCCAAATTTGTTCATGCGGCTTTGGTTGCGAACGCGAGTAAAGTTGATGTTAGCGAATTTTAGTTTTAAAGAAAATGGGCCATTTTGAGACTTGAAAACCGATATTTTAAATTTGTGGCAAATAAAAGGCTTATTGGTGAAAACAATTTACAGCACGTTTCTTATCTACCTAAAAGCTGTATATGGAAAAAAGAATAAAGGAATCGATTGTTCAACTCTTGCCACTCAATGCTAGATATTTCCTGACCGTGCTCTTAAGCATTTTTCTTGTTCAGGTCAAGCGTAATAATACATTGTTTTTTTAATTACTGATTTACTCTAAACAAAGCTGGTTCGTCAGAAACAAAAAACAGTCTGATTGGTCATGCAATTTGCTCACTGGTAAAAAAAAGTTATATAACAATTATTCACCTCAGTGTCGGTAGCAAGTGGTGACTATTTAACGAGACGCGGTTTACTAGCCACCGACACTGAGGTGAATAATTGTTTTAGCATATACTAAAACAGTGACATAATTGAGCACAAAAATGATGATTTTTAACTCATTTACTGTTGCGAACGATTACAAATTTGGCGCGCAATGACCGAACGGCCGCGGCCGTCGCTTTATCTTGCCGACAAATAAAACTTTTAAGGGCATTTGTTTAGATCTTGCCGGGAAATTTCTTCAAAAGGAGTCGTGTATTCGTTTGGTATTTAAAATCATTCTGTAAAAAAAGATTATTAAATTTAGTTTTGAGCTTATTTATTAACAAGTCAACTAAATGAAGTAATCAGGCAAGACTTCGCATTTGTAAACAAAAAACTTTTCCACCGGTTTCATCGATAAATTCAAGTCGAACTAAGACAAAGCATGACCTGTTAAAACTTCCAAACCGAACTTCGTCACCTTCTTTGTGTATTTCGGGAACAGCTTGCTTGATTATTTGTGAAATTTCTTTGTTTGTTACGGCAGGAAACCCGGAAGGCATTTTGCTCGCAACTTATGCGAGTTTGACGACTCTCGGTCGGAGGAACTGGAGGTGAATCAGTGACTAGTGCAGGATATTCACTGATTGAATAGCCAATCAGAGCGCGCGAAAAACACTATCCACTGTTTTAGTATATACTAAATTTATATATCTACTACCTGGATTTTTGAAAACCGGGTTAGCAAAAAATCAGTTCTTTCTACATATATCTTATGACCAATCACAGGCCTCAAACGGATTTTTTCACTTAACTGGCAAAAATTTTATCGTTTCCTGCTTTTTGGTGCGTACACTTGCCAAAAGTGAAAAAGTTCTGAAAAGTTCTGCAGGGTTTATAGTTTATAGAATCAATCAAGAAATTTATCGAGAGCCATGAAAACGAGAAAAAAAACACACACACACACACAAAGAAAACCGATTTAAGCGACGATTAACGAGTCAAGGAAAGAAATTGCCCCGAACGAGCTGTATGTGTGAGATGACTATGAAGCCAGTCCTTTACGTTATAGTTTAATGGCCAGTTTTGAACGGTATTTAAAGACGAATAATTCCAGTTTCAGCATTGCGAAAGACGCTAAGCTTGAACAGACACGAAAAGCTTTAGAACAAAAAGCAAATGTATCTAAAACTTAAAAGAAAAGGAAATAAACCTAACGCAAACTCTTTCCTTGCTCTTTAAGAGGAGGAGATAAAAATACCGTATGACAAAGAATTGGGATCAATTTAGGTGTCTGGGAGAACTACCCACCTACCCCTCCCCTAAGCCATCATTTTGCCCAAAGTGTTAATGTTAGCTTAGGGGAGGGGTAGGTGGGCAGTTTCCCCGGAAACCTAAATTGATCCAAGAATTGTTATGAATGTCGACTCCCGAGAAGGAGCCTCATCTATGATAAATATTTGTTTCATGGCTGCATGTTTCTATATTATTTTATAACAAGTACAATAATGATTTAATATTGATTATTATTCATTCAAAATATTTCCCCGATTCTGATTGGCTAAAAGCACACGTTTAATTCACCATAACCAGTTACTGATGACCAAATTTGGAAGAATTTTGACTTTAACGAGGAAATGACGTCAAAAATGCAGCGTTTTCGCAGGTTAAGGCACCGTTAACCGAGAAGACCTGGGGACGAGGTTGAGTTGTTTTGGTTGTGAACTTGAAAAAATGGCGGACATTTCACTCGTTTAAAGAGTAAGAACTAGGCGAAAAAATAGAAAAAAACATGGCAAAAACAGCAAGAAGACAACTCGAAGGGCGACATCTGCTATTTGGAGAATATTTGCGGAGCTGGATTAACCTAAACGTACACTATCGAAGATGAACTGAACATCGATGGATCGATGGAGGTAAGCATGTTTTAGCTATGTTTTTAAACTAGGAATTATTTTGAATGAATAATAAAACAGTTATTGAATTCGGCTTTCGTATCATATGAAGAATTATGGAGATCTCGGAGGGTGTTATCCGCCTCGGCCTACGGCCTCGACGGATAACACCCCACTTGATCTCCATAATTCTTCATAAGATACTCAGCCTCATTCATTAACTGTTAATTAACGAAATACTAATAAACTTTCCCACGGTGATTTGATTTTGATCAAAGTAAAAAAAAGATAAAAAATGGTAAAAGAATGAAAAAAAATAATTCAAGGTTATGGTTAATTTGTACGATATCTATTCACTTGTAATGAACTTGTGAATAAAAATCGTGCGCGCTTTTTAATTATTAACTATGAAATAATCTATACAACTTTTATTGCAAGAACTTTGAACAATAAATCATGATGCCCAAGTTAAGGTATGAGCCTGCCTGTAACATATAAGGGTTTTGGGTCAGACAAATACAATGAATTTTCATAACTTACCAACAAGGAGTCCAATAACCAAGGAATTGGCAACAAAGACCAAGCCATTGAACAGCAGGTTATCCAGGATTGGGTCGACTGATGACTCAAAACGTTCACTTGGGATTGAACTCACGGCTCCTATTGCAAGGTTTACGAAGGTAACGGCAAGTGAAGATAGCATAAGCTTGTTTTCGAATGGATCTTTTATTGGGCTTTTCCACGCGAAATAGATACCATACAGACCAGAAAAAACCAAAGCTAGGCCAATGTAAGCTCTGCTTTCCCCACCCAAAAGGATCAATCCAGAGGTTAAAATAACCTTTCGAAATGTTTCCACCAGCTCCCAATACCAACACCGAGGGTTGTAGTTTTCGTACAAAAAACGAAGCCCCGTTTGCACGGTACTTTGGACTTCCGAACCATTTGTGTCGCTTGATTCATTTTTCTTTTCAGCTCTTTTCCTTTTCCAAATTGCTGTAAAAGCAGCAGCAGGCAAAGCAATCACATACACAATGGAACAGTATCCCACGATGACTAATCGGTTATACCTCTCTCCTTTGCAGTTAATGCTGTAGTCGGCCTTCAAATACTCCTCGCAGCTTTCATCTTTTTTGGGGTCAACGCAGAGTCTATGGCAGGCAAGAGGTAAGACTTGAGCTGTTTTTAGGCAAGTGTTCAGATAGGTCACGAAAAGAAAGAAAAACAGATTTCTCTTTACTATCGCTTTAATGCGCTCCTTTATCTTCATTTTTTCTTCTTCATTCGACATATGTCGTGTCGATATCCAAGTGGCAAGGGCAAGGCTAGCAAGGGCGACGATGACTGCTGCAATATTCAATCCCATAACTGCAAATAAACTTGTGAGTGCGTCAAATTCCAAGTCAGGAAAGATGCAGTGGAGGGGAGCTATCTGAAGAATGTTCATCTGAATAATATCTGAATATTCCCCAATAACGGAAAGACTTCCAGGCCATTTTATGTATGAAAACGCCTCCATGATACCAAACAGCACCTGATAAAAACCAATAACAATTTTAATCTCTCCGAGGACCTTGTCAAGGAAAGATCGTCCAGCGTCTTTTTTGTCCTTTTTCTTGCTTCTCCACACCACAAGTATAACCAGTAAGATAATTAATGCCCCAATAATTACAAGCTGTCCGATCATCCATCCTTTTGTTGGGCACAACTTGCATTTCTTCAGTTTTTTGTGATATCCATCACTGCAAACTGCACATAGCGGTCCTTCATAACCAGCCTCACATGAAGAATTCAAACCTCCCTTACAAGCTTCTGCTATGGGACATCTGTACGGTTGAGGTATGGTATACGGGTATTCAATACCGGAATCATTTGCTTTGTGTAATTCAGGAGTAAAGGAGAAATTTGTTACGTTTTTAATGAAGTTTCTGTACAGTTCTAGGTGTGTCTTATGTTCCCACTTCCACCAAAAGCCAGCTGTAAGATTCGCAAAGTCATCCAGACATTTCAGTCCTCCATTCTTCTCACATAGTGTACATTCCCCAAACAAATTCGTTCGATAGTAATTATCCAAACACTTACAGGCCCGAAACCCTGCAAATTCATATGATTCAGTACCTGTAAAAATAGGAAATCGAACATTTGTTACAAAATATCGTAACTAATCCGTTCAATTTTGTTATTAAAAACATATAAATTATTCTTTGGTGACGGGAGCTACTTATATAAAGTAACAAGGTGAAATAGCGTTTCCACCAAACAAGTGAAACGTTTGTTTATTTCTTGTTGTTTTCTTTTTTTTTAGAACAATGCATGTCTTAAAATCGTTATTAACTACGTCTTAAAGATAAACCACATATAATCATCTCGTTCTTACTCACTAAGAAAATTTGCACATTCGCTCTTCCGAATTTTTGATTTGACAACGAAGGCTCGTTTATCGATATAGAATACTGTCAGTGATAACGATGATATAGAGGATATTACGTGGCCGCGCGGGGATACGAATTTTAGCACGAGAAGATAAAATTCGTATCCCCAAGCGACCATATAATGTTCTGTTTATTTTATAAACACTGATGAAATTCCTACATAAAACACAACTTTTTTTATTCATTTTCGAAACAGCAAAATATTGCAATTAAAGTGGTCACCTATCGCAAATGCCTGTCACAACAATGTTATGAAACTGGGATATAAAGTTATAAAGGAGAAATAAAGACAATAATACTTATATTTTCTGTTCCAAAAAGTCCAAATTGTGTTACTATTCATGGCGACACCAATATCCTCACACGTGAAAGATAAAAATAGTATCTTCACTGGGCGCGATGAAGATATGATGTTTTAGTAAAAGGACAAATCCTGGTATTTCATCACTATCTATATAATAATTAGCAATATCTTCTCCGTTCGCGGTGAACTGGGGTCATTGCAAAGAAATTAATACAATAGAAAGAACAGAGGAGATCAAATATGGATGTGAAAGTTTCTTTTTTTTTTTCCTTCCGGAAGCGTTTAAGGTGGGGACTATACATTTTAGGGGAACGAAGGGACTTTCAGCTGAACTCTCTCCACACAGTTCCACCACCGGAGAGCCAATCTGAATTTTTAGTATAAGGACTCCATGATAACAAAAATTACCTGATAATCAGAATAAAGTTCAGATGTAACGTACACTTTGATTGGTTGATAAAACATGCTTCACGAGAGTATAAAGCACGGAACTAAAGGTGATGTTACACGGGACAATTCGCAACCACGATTTTTAGCTCAACACAGTGTTGCAATGTTGGAACAATATTGTAACTATTCGAACAATGTTGCAACAATGTTGCAACGCTGTGTTGCGCGAAAAATCGTTGTTGCGAATCGTCTCATGTAACATCACCTTACAGTCAAGGCAGGTCAAGCGTACCCCTCAAGATTCTATTAATGAATTGATTATTTGAAAAATGAATCCTTTAGTCGTTCCGAAACTAGTGTCAAATTCAAATCAGCATTCCTGCATGCGTAATGAGCAGTGAATATTGTACAAGAACTTCTCTGTATTTGGTCTGATTGAAAATCTTTGAATGGATTAAATTACATTTACATCAAATTCAGAGAAACTGAGGCGGTAGAAATGTCGTAATTTCGTGTGAATTCACGGCTCATTACGCAAGCAAGATTGAAGACATAAATCTGAAATCCACAACTACCAACGGATTCAACTTTCCAATAGTAAATTCATTAATGGAATCTTGGGGTACGCTTGACCTGGCTTGACTGCAAAGCCGCGGTCGCGCCATCTGTGAATCACACCATGCGGCGGTGGGTTTTCAGACCAAAGCTCCACATTTCTGGGTTAAAAATACACCGTTGAAAGACACAAATGAAAATTAAGGGAAAGTTCAAATGAACGTTCAGTTATTTTTGGTGTGGACTAAGGAGAGATTTTAGCTACAAAATGGTCCTTCGAGGAATTCAACGATGTTTTCTTCGCGGCGGAGCGCAAAATGTCCTGTTTTGAGGCCAAGACAGCGAAGAATTTTCAGGTATATTGTACTCTGTGGTCAAGAAAGTTACGTTTTTAAAAGAGAATTTACTATGTATAAATGTTTTACAAACGTTCTATAAATTTTGTCATTGTCGCTAAAGAAAAATTTCAAACTTAACATCCGGATTTGCGATAGATTTTGTATTGAAATTTGCATTGTGCTTATCCGATTAACCTCTTAGTCTTCGAATAACAAAATTTTAAAGAATAATTTCTCTGTCTATTGTTTTGAGTTTTTTCATTCATAATACTAGCTTAAAACACGATCGCGAGACTACATGCGCCATCACTTCTGGGAAGACGTTGGCGAATTTTATAAAATTTTACTTTCAGGCTAGTTTTTTTAGGGACAACCAACGAGAATATAGTTCAAAACCACTTAAACATAGCATTATTAAACGTATTTTAGTTTTTAAACGGCATACTTTTATCCCCTAAAAATTTTTCATCTGCTTGGATTTTCTAGCTGAAAGTCTAGTGATACGAAAATTATATAGGGATCAACACTTAACTTTTCGAAAATTGCAGCCAGGAAAAACGCTCCCGAAAATTCTAGGTGACCTCTTGAGGTTAAAAATCCGTTAAAAATGGGCAATTATACCATGTTTAGATGTTCGAAAATCCTAGGAGAGGCAGCCAAGCAAGAAATTTTACAACAAATGTTCCGAAAATTCTAGATCTCAGATCGTCATCCGAACAGATATTTTCTTAAATTTGTCGTTGGGTGCTCCTGGTTTTTGGGCAGTTCAGGTGATACGAAGCTGAAGCAGTTTGTTTTCAAATATGTGATGTTAATGACGTCCAGGTTTTCATGGGCCGCAAAAGCACTTTTTACCTTTACAAACTGATTTTTGAACGTAGAAAGTACATTTCTTCAGCATTCATATTCACTGAACGTTTCGCTCGTTTTACTTTGTGATAGCTTTGATGTTTTGACATCTTTTATCTTATTCCTAATCAGGATTGTGATTGGCTAATAAAGCGTGATTTATGAAAGTGTAGAACATCCTGACGCCACTCTGGTTCGCTTTGAAAATTAGAAAGCAATGCGTGGGGAATTTAACGGTTTTTTTTATCGCAAAACAAATAAAGAAGCCTTATGACTGTGCTCTGTTCTGTTGTAAAGCACTTATGTAGCGGTCTAGAGCACTCAAGAAGAAGGGAGAAACACTCGATTACGTCTCGTGTTTCCCCCTACACTTCTTTCGTGCTCTAGCCGCTTCTTGCGTGCTTTAAAACTGCACGAACAGAGCGCAGTGAAGGCTTCTTTAGTTGTTAATTATAATTATAATTTTCCAGCTTTCAATTGAAAACAGACAGTAATACAACCATCGCTCCTAAAACTGCAAGCTGCCCTGTCATCCGTTTTTTTGGTTTTTGTTGGACACAGCTTGCATTTTTTCAGTTGTTTATAACATTCATCACTCAAACTGCACATAGTTGTCCTTCAGAAACAGCCTCATATGAAGAATTCAAACCTCCCTTAAAAGCTTCCTCCGTGGGACTAATATTTTACGATCTAGGAAGGGTGTACATAAACTCACAATAAAATCAGAGACTTTGCCGGTAAAATTTCCGGTTGCTGTTATGCATGAACATTCACGCACAAACACGGTAAATCACAAATGTAAACTTTGTATCCAATTGACACCAGGTATAATAATTAGCAAGACCAACGTTTAACATAAATATAAAGCTGTTTCACATCTTGATATATATCTTTCTCCGTTACTTTCCATTAAATGTTTTCTTCAGTCGTCTTTAATTTCTCTGGCTCAACCAGATTGAAATAGCCGATTTCTCGAAGTGGAGGTGAGTTATTACTTATTGGTGCTTGACACGTAAACATGACAAAAATGGGTGTATTTTCTAAATATTTTTGGAATTTTAGCGGAAATGTTTAAATAAAAGTAAGACAAACGTTGTTATGCCGTCGAACATAGGGTGGTAAACGTTTTGTCATAGCCGAGATTTTTATGACCTTTGATACCTGTATTACTTCTTAGTACATAGTTTGAACCCAGGATTACTGTCATAAGAAGTTGTAATATGTTCCTCGGGATGAGTGTAGTCCTGAATAGGACTGGCAGATGAGGGCGACATAAAGAAAGATTGTGCTAATTCTATCACTTCAGTTGATTGTATCGTTTTTTATTGTCCCTGATTGTTCAATTAAGTCGCGAAGTTATTGGTCCCCTGTCAGTTAAGCCGCGATGTTTCTGGCTATGAAGTGTCGAATAAATGAAGACTAGATTGTGAGGGTTTTTTTTAAACGATAACTCTAACACTCCATAGTAATAACCTATACTTTTGAAGACCGATCACACGTCAGAAAAATTGGGAACGAACCCCTCAAGAAACGAGTATTTTTTAAAGATTCAAGCAGCAGATAACGATCTCTATTCTCTTTTGTCACGGAACCCAAGAAACGCCTATTCACTTCTTTTGGGGTTGTCCCGTGACCAGAGCTTGAAAAGATTTCTTGGTTTCAGTTGATTGGTTGGACGCCTCTGGCGTTTTAGCCGATAGAAATATCTTAGTTGGTCATTGTGTACTCTGGGCTACATTTTACATCTTTAGCTGCAAATACAAAAGTTGAAAACCATCTATTGTAGAATATATTTATCAAGTTAAAGACAACTTTATAATTGAAAAAAATTTCAATTATTAAAGGAAAGGAGAAAATTTTTGAAGAAAAGAGGACACAAATTATTCAGAAAAGGCGTTTATTTGAGTGAACTCTCCTTTTTTTCTCCTCCTGTTTTTTTAATCCAATATGAACAGATTCCAAATAAAAAAGAAAAAAATATTGTACGCATATCCTGTCTAGCTACCTTACTATCAATTTTTTAATCAATTTTGTTTCTTTTGAATTAAGTGTATTTCTTCTACAGTGTATTTAAGTATCTATGTTTATGTAATGCATGTGTGTAAGAAGCAAATAAATGAAATTTAAAAAAAGGAGTGCAGGTCCGTATCAGTTTCTTCATTTTCTCACCATCTCTTTCGTCAGTTTGCTTAATAAGTTCGTTGATGGTATACGTAGTAAAAAAAAAACCGTGTAGATTTGGGGCAAGAATGATGTTGATTTTAACTTGGCGATTCGCAAAACCTAACGGGAAACAAAATGTTTTCTCCCTCCGCTTGGAGGGACGAAGAAGTGGAGACATTAATTCATATCTTCTCCAGGGAAACTACCTTAAAATTCCAAAAATAAGCCCCTCCAAATATAAGCCCCCCAAAATCGTAACGCAAAAAACCCCCCGTTAAATCGCCCCTCTTAATATAAGCCCCCCGGGGGGCTTGTACTTGGAATTTTCCCTCGAATACAAAGAAAAACAAAGCAAAAATGGTAAATTTCCTTCCCACTACAAGCTAGTCCAATCGATTTTGAAACGCAAATTTCCCTCCGTACATAAGCCCCTCAAAAAATAAGCCCCTCAAAAAAGGCCTTTGAAAATATAAGCCCCGGGGCTTATTTTCGGAATTTTACGGTATACTACAGTTAACGGCTTGCTGGGTAAAGCGAAATGTCCTAAGGGTAAAATAGCTGTGTACGACGGAAGTTGTAAAAACTAACAAAATTATAACGTTCCGACGTTTCGGTACCTCAGGACGCCATTATCAAGGAACAGAAATAAATTGATGGCGTTGAAAAAGAGTTAAAGTACTCTAATGAGATACATCTAGACAAAGACTTCGCACAGATTGAATATGTTTGCACGTCTTATGTTTCTCTAAATCATTATTAAAAGTGAATTAGTTAATTAGCGAGTTAATTTGTTTTCCTGCGCTTTCCTGTAACCATACCTCTTGTAAGGTTCTCTTAATTGTTGATCCAGTAGACTTCCGTTTGGACACAACACGCACGAAACGGATAACTCACGATCATTCATCGCCGCTTTGCTTTTAATTACAGACCTTCACAGGAATTATGATGTCCGTTGACCACATACATCTGCATCAGTTACCGCAGCCCCATGATCGAAATTTTTCCGGTCTCACATAAAAATGCAGTGACAACGCAACCTCCTAAAATATGGTCCTTAGGCCTTTTTTTCGACAATATCCGTGTTAACAGCTAAATTTATTTGGCCCGAAACGGGTTTGTATCACACTTTTCTGCCCTATTGTGTTAGTCAAAATCATTAAGTCATTTTGCTATCCTCATTTTTGCTTGAGTTTATAGAGAAGTTGTTTGTAAGGTGTCGGTAACTGCTGCCTTCGATTAAGCGGCGTTTGTTGTAAGTTAGTAATCAGCTCTCTAGAGTTAGTCATTAGTTTGTGATGTACTGCATTCAGCAGAGTCCCAGTCGGTGTGTTAGTTTGTCTGTCAATGGTGTTCAGAAATGTGATGGTTGGAATCCTAATTCTTGCCGTTCACTCGTGCTCAGTCATTCTCAAGATGAGGTGTCTGCCGGTCCTAGCAATTTAAGCAGTCTGGAAGTCACAGCATTTGATTTTTTATACTGCTCACCGTGTTTCCTCCAGTTTGTGTCTGTCCCCACTTATTGTTTTATGTGTAACGCGGATGTCTAAGGTTCAAGGGTACGTATGATAGTTTTAGAGGTGCCTCTAACGTGAGGAATAGCCCCTGTCGTAAAGATATTTTAGAACTGTTTGCAGTTTATGTGCACCCGTGCAATCAAATGCAAAAACAGGCACTGATGTATTCCTGTATGGTTTGAGAAGAAGCATTGCAAGTCATTTACTCTGAATAATTGAAACCATACGCACGTATTGAGCGCCAATCCTGTTTAGGAAGAATTTGAAGCTCGTACGTACTTGGGCTATGTTAGATGTCTTATATAACCACATAATGATTCTGGCCACCATTTCAAACAATTTGAAGAACGAATTACGCTGGGTAGTAACGCCGCGACTCATTCTATCTTTTTTAGGCAATGAAAGTTCATTGTCTGTTCTCAGTGGCCGATGAACAAGAATGTCAAGTTAGTGGAAATTAAATTACGCCGATTTGAATAAAGTCATAAGCTGTGGATTTCTCTTGCGTTCTCGTTTCATCTGCACCGACATTTAGCCAAATTTAAATTTACTTTTTGATTGAAATAAATTTTAAAAAATTCCGCCATTTTTTAAACGCCTGTCCTATTGTAGTTTGCTTCATAACATTATGAAAGTTTGTTCTGGACCTAAAGAGCCGCTCAACACTGTGACAACATCCTAAAGAATTTCCACTGCAATGAAACCTTTCCCAGCGTACTCAATAGTTTCACGGATTTTACAGAAAAAATACTTTTGAGAACTTGTTTTTTTTTTGCCACGGCTAGGAGTAAACGAGTTATTTTTGTAATTACTTTTGACGCACCTGCTTCAGAAAAGACACATGACGACAACAAAAAAGTTCGGATGACAAATCTAGTAGTCATGTCAAGTCAAGCGCGAGAGGGTCAGTACCGCAGCTTTAAGGTAAAGTGGTTGAGAGAAGCAACTACAAATTATCTTGATTGCGACAACTAGGAGGAGGTTCACTGTGCAAGCCACCGTACTCGTAATGGGAATTTCAGGTCCAATTCGTAGAGGCAGAGGTTTGTGGAATGCTCGCATAAGGATCATCAGGGAATAGTAAGGTTTCCAGGTATTGACAACAATGCAAACATGAAAATGCCAGAGATGCTACTAACACACATTTATGCCACAAGAAAAAGCTTTTCAGTCATAGAGTGGTTGGATTTAATTGGGCAAGAAAACTTAATGAAATCAAATGTGCTTTATTGCGGGCAGAGGTTGATCAAGCCACTGCAGCTAAACGCGAATGATAAAGTTTAATGACAAAGCTGAGGAGATGAGAATAGCGAGCAGTTGTCTTAACTTTAGGGCCTTGCCAGTAAAAGAAGAAAAAGAATAGAAGAGAAGTAGAGGAAGAAGAAGAAGGATGAGAAGAACTTAAAGAATCGTTTACCATTATAAGTACACAAGCCTAGTAGTCGAAGACTGAATTTGGCAATTTTGCCTTGCTTCCTATGTTCCTGTGAAACTGAGGCTGCAAAAAAATCCGATTATTACGTTCGGCTTTCGATTGACTCAGCTCCATTGACCAGTCAAGGGTACATTCGCAGTCAACCTCGGCAACTAAACGAATCCTTTCATTCTCTATTTTCAAAGATGCGAATGAAGACGATCACGTTTATACCCCCTATGAATAGTTAATTTACTTTGAGTGGAGTGTCAATTGTAGAAGTCGAGCGTTTGCTTCCGGCCTAACTCAAGAGGGAAAAAAAGGGAATTATCAAGTGGGATTACATATCTAGTTACACTTATTTATTTCTTTTCTTTATTCCCAATCGGATTATACAACAGTGGACTTTGGTTGCAGTATTTATCTTTGTTTTTTCTTTGTTCACTCCTTTTATCTTTTTAAAGTCCAACTCCCCCAGCCAATAAACTGGTAGCCATAGCAACCAGCAGTATTTCTTCTTCCACAACTTAAAAACATGACCTTGAGAGTACAGTAAGGTGGATCATAGATTCTGACAGTAACCATTTGAAAAGAGTTCAGCGTAATTATTTTAATTACTTCACCCATCACGTTCCTTAAGTTTTCCCAAAACATTCTCTAGAAAAAGCTGTAATAGTTTCTATGGAAACATTCAAAAAAGCTCTGTCACTGCCTCAAATAATTTAGTCTGCTACACAGCCGTTTTTAGTGTCGTCAAGCAGACTACAAATAATTAAGTTAATAGACTATTACATTATAAAATGGATTTTCACGTTAGGCGCCATTCATAATGAACTGGCAAATTTCCCACATAGTATCTCAGGCTAATACAACTACGCTGTGGCGTTAGAATACCTTGTGGACAGGACTTGCAATCAAATGGGCTTTTTCCTGGGGCTTTTGAGTAGTGGACAAAAGTTCCATTTTCGCAGCGCCGACAGCTGTTATTTACATAAGCTCGCGTGTCTGAGTAGAAACCTCCTGAATGAACAAGAAATAACAAAAAATATGGATCACTACAAAAGGACAGCGCGATGATCAGGAAAGTTTTTACAGAGGAGACTGATTCAAACCCTTAGAAGAGCGGCCTTCCGTTTGTACATTTTTGTATTGACCAACAGTCTGTAGACGCCCAAACTTTATTATATCAACGGACGACTAAAAAGAAGTAATGTAGTGTCAGTAGCCTTAAAGAAATCTGTTTAAAAAATCATCCTAAGCTACCCGCGCAGTCCCCCGATTTCAACTGGCTAATATATTTTACTTTTACAAATCACTGACATGTTCACTACCATAACAGCCGATCCCCTTCAGCTCATGCTTTAAGGAAAAACATAGACAATTCCTTATTACTCGAGCTTCAAAGACAGGATAGTTACGTTGATAGACGCCCTTTATTAATGAAATTAAAAAATTGAATCTAATGTTATTTATTTATTTATTCTAATTATTTGTTTATTCGTATTATTGTTCTAGTTATCTCTTTTTCTGCGTTATGTTGTAAATCTCTCTTATTTCCTTGTAAAATGTTTTTTGGTATCTATACTTAATTTAGTTGCATTTTTTTTTTGTATCAGTACGCACAAACTTTTCATGTAGCGTCCCCACACTGCCTGCCTCGAATACCGCTAAATATAGGCAGTGTGTGTGTGACTGGATTTGCTAAAACATAGCCATAGAAATCTCTCTCATAAATACCTTTACCGAGTCTTGTGACGGAGCATGATTTTTTTTTGTTATTGTCACTTTCATTTATTTGTTTTCTACCGAATATTTTAGTACTGAATAGTTGACGCTGGAGTAGATAGACTGTCATGAGTTTCTCACTCGCTATTAACCACCCCACCCCCCAAACCTTTTTATAACTTCCCTTAATTCTCGACTCTGTATGTCAGTTTGAAATCAGCGCGTGTATTAGACTGAACTCGGCTCTCATAGTGCTTTGTCTCAGATATTTTTTGGCTGCCTTGAGCGAAGTTTTCCGGAAGGCATCATCAAGCCTTATTCTTTGTGCCGTGAGTGTTTAGGGTAGGTTATTTTGTCTTAGAAAGCCTATTCTGAGCTCAAAGATTGAGGATCTTAAATTTTGACTAGTGTTTTCGGCAGAGACTTAGCTATGGGCCACACGGCTTCACCAAATAAAATGTTACACTTTTCCGACGTTTCAAATGTTGTTAAGTCCATCGCAAAACCCTGTTATTTCTGCGAGAGAAATTTACCACCTGTTGCCAGCAAAAAAGTTGTCATTGCTAAGTCACAGCTAGTGACTTTTAACTGCTTTCCATTCCTTAGATGTCAAATTGTTAAAATGCACTGAGGATTTCTTTAGCCATTTTTTAGCAAATCCAGTCAGGAATGTCTTACATATTTCTTTCTTGTTAATAAAATTGCTATTTTGCTGATATAAATTTTGGCTGATAAAATTCTTTCACATTGTATAACTGTTTCATTTTACAAGAAGAAAAGAGGGGTCTAAAAGACACGGTATATTTTTTCTCAAAAAAAAAACCTGTCTTATAATGCGTTTGCTCACACATTATCACAATCACTTGCATTCAGCCAGGTATTGACTGGAAAAGGCTTTACGTTTTTGCGCAAGTGAGAACAGTCTAACGGCTTTATTCAGAAGCTACCGAAAGTGTTACAGTTGCAATAAGTTTCATGAAAAAATAAAATTGCAATCTTGATGGTATATGTATTTTGTTCTCGAAACTTTCTTACACTGCTAGTTGACTTTTGTACTCTGAGTATTATTTCAGAGAGCAAAAACACTCCTTGCAACATATTACGGTACGTAAGTACATGTTTAGCATTCGAAGAAAAAAATCATGACTGAGATCTCTAAATGTACGTGTTTGTCTTTACGATTAAGATGTGTAACACGCATATCATAAATTAAGAAAAAATTACCTGCTGGGCACTCTAGGCACTTGGGGTCTTTAGCAGAGGCTTTAACAAACGTCCCCAGTGAACATGGAAGTAATTTGTATGCACTCTCATTACTTGCACTGGCGAACCCAGATTGTCTGAACGCGAGCAATAAATCTTTTCCAAAGAACCAATTACTGTAATATGAGATATCGATCTGTTCAGTATCATCCTGTCCTGGACCTCTGAAGAAAAAAATCAGGAAAAAAGTGAAACAGACAAGGCGGTGAGGAATAAACATGACCATCACTGACCTAGCGAAATGATGCGTTTTCTGCTGAGGTGGGGTTTATCTTATCTTATGAAACAAACTGCAAAGGTTGACAGGCATCGTCACGAACACAGACTTTATAACGTGTTCTGATACCCATTTCATTTTTCGGTGCGTGTAGGCTATATCTGGTTTATATAAAGGCACCACTCTTAATACTGAGAAAGGCAAAATAGCTTGCCTGGGGAAAATTTTCCCTTTACATATTTAAAGAAAACACTCACAGGTGAACTGTACATTTGCTTTTCCCATATGAAACTTTTATGGTTTTGATTGCTCCTTGTTCCGAATTTCTGAACAAAGTAAAAAAAATAATGTTATGGTGTTTTAAATGCTAAAATTGATTTTCAGGGTCCCTATCGTATTGTTATTTGTTGTTGACGTTGGGAACAGGCTATGAGAAATCTACGATAGATATTCATGCCTGGAAATTCTTGGTCTGGTTTGAGCCATGTCACGTGTTTCCAATTTTCAGTCTAAATTTAACTGTTTTCTTGTTAAATTTTCCTTGCTATTTAATTTTCATATAAGAAATCTTGACTGTCGAAAGCTAAAAGAAAAAAATATTTCAAAAAAGAAATTTCCAACTGCGCAGAATTAATAAAAAAGATGAAATGTAATACCCTCCTTCCATTTGTATTTATTAACACTATTTTGTAACGTCTTAGCTTGACCTAGTCGTTTGTAAATGCAGACTCTGAAGAAAGGCCGTGCCCGGCTTTCGAAACATTGACTGGTAACACAAAAAGTATACATTCCCGACAGTAAAATCAGCCTTGATTTTTTCCGTTGTTCAGATATTTGAATTCACAGCCGATTAGATCCTCTATTAGGATGCAGTCCTTCTATTTTGTAACGTTGGTATAGCCGTATATAGCGGGGGAGGGGGCTATGATATGAGCAGCCGCCCCCCTGGACCAGTTGAGCCAGACAAATCAAGTCTGTGGATAGATTTCTTTCTTTAAACTCAGTTATTTTGACTGTAGTGACCATTTTCATGGCCGAGAAATTGGAAATTAAGGAAGCAAAAAACCCCTATCGAAATTGGCGTGTATATGTACTATTTGAAAGGTTCACTCTAATTTACAGAGAGTGACTGGAACTAGTGAAGTATAAGTAGAATCCTGGGATAGAATATGGCATTTTGGAGCCTACAAATGGGGCATTTGCACGATGACGTCTCTTTGCTACTAAGACCAGAATTTATTTCGTTTTTCGGCTTTCATGTTTAAATTTGGTAGTCCCAGTGAGGTTTAAATAACAAAAGCCTCAATTTGCAAAAGAAAGCAATACCCTGAAGGATTCTAGTCGTAGTAGTAAAATGACGAGATCGTGCAAATGACCTATTTGACTTTTACGTAGCTACATTTTTGTACGGCCCTGGTTGGTCCTTGCTTCCAAAACTGATCAAATGACAGCCATTAATTGCTAAAAAGCCTCTTCATAACTTGGCTATAATTTGCGGAGATCTAAAAACTTATAAAGCTTTTTCCGTGTAAAACCATAGTGGAGAAAAGACTGGTTATGAAAGCAAGCAAACATCAAAGATGAAAAGACAGCTAGTGCTGCAGTTTATGTTTGAGGCCGCCTGACCCTGCACAATCCTTGGGTTTTTGTTCACAAATTGTCACCCAATAAATTTCTATTGGTCGGTTAGCTCCAGTGACAGGAATTATTGAAAGTTGTGCACGTTCAGTCCCAAAAAAAGCCGAGAAAAACATTTAACAAAGAAGTCTAACAGACTTCATAGGCATTGCATATTATTATGTGAAGACAACATCCACAAATTGTAAGCTTTACTTCCATGTGTTGTTAGCCCGTGTTTTGTTCATAAAACTTTCTTCTGGGCTAAGAAAACTCCTTCATTTTCGGGAAGGTCCGACAACTCTAGAAAAAATCTAGAAAAGCGTTAAGGCCGCAAAAAGAAATTCGACGAAGCAGGTAGAGTACTGCAAGTACTATCGACGTCAGACGTCCCTGGACAAGTTTTTCTTTCGGCCCGCTTTACGGACCGTTGGTTTAGTCTTCAGTTCAGAAATGTGGTCACCAGTCCGGAAAATCCCTATATTTAAGGACAGTTTTGACGTCATGGAGCTATTGTTCTCGAGGAAAATGGCGGTTCGATTACCAAAACGACCAGAGTTCACCGTTTCGAGGTTCTCAGGCATATTTCGAAGACTTTTCACGGTTTTCATGGCAGATACAGGGAGGGGCCAAACCACCCCTCAAAGGAATTATCAAAGCGTGGCCATTTTGGTTAATTTAGAATAACTTTGAAAACTTGAACTCTTTCTTTACCAAACTTGGCCTAAAAATACGAAACTTCAGGCCAATCAAAATGGTTTATAGGATTTCACCAAATGTCAAATTATCACGTCACGTTTGCTGACGTCATTCATACGTAAAATTTAAACTTTTAAATCTCCCAATCTTTTATGCCGTTTTTGATAGAAATATTGAAGGGAAGTTGAAAGCTAGAAAAGTTTCTCCAGTATCTAAATATGAGCTGAGATATGACATTTTGAATTTGGATAAATTCGTAGCACAAAAACCCCCTTGTAAAATAAGTCTTCATTAAAAATGTTCATTGTTCAAGTCACCCTTGCTATTTAACCCTCGGATGTACCGCAAATTCACACCCCTACTGTGGTACCAGGGGGGGAACGAAACCCTCCCCGGAGTTCTTGATATGTTGAAGTATTTTGAAACGATTTTACCTTTAGTGGAAAGCCATTGATCTTCCTAACAAGATGAGGCATATTTTAGGGGTGGTGGCGCTGCTGGAA